ATTTTTTTTTTTTTTTTTTTGAGGAAAAATATGCGCTCGGAAGACAGTCTCTCAGGAGGAATCAAGAAATCGCTTTGAAGATATTTTGAAAAAAATTTTTTTAAGTTTTTTTTTTAAACGATGCATTGCTTAATGTTGTACAGTTTTTAGGTAACGGCTAGTATTTCACCACGACAACAAAATGTAAAATCGCCAACCCGTCCAACCGAATGCCCGACTACTGTTGTACTGGCAAACGACAGAAGCAACTGGGATAAACGAACGAGGGTTAAAGAAAAAAGTACCCAGGCGGCTTGCTCAGCTAGTGGTGCTGCTAATACTAATGCAAAAGTGGTAAAGCTAAATTATAATTGTATTCGTTATGCTTGCGTGCGAGTACTTTGCCGCTGGTATATAGTTAGTTTCTACATCGAGCTTAAGTACATGGAGCCCTTCAGTCATTTCGGACTCATTACCTTGTATGCAGATGTCCGGGCTGTGAATTCTCTCCCAGGAAGAGTTCCTTTTTAAGTATTTAAAAACGGGAGTAATGCACAAACACAAAAAAAGAGAAGAAAAAAAATTATTAATAATTTTATAAATTGATAAGAAATGTTTCAACCCATTAAGTCGTACTTTCAGGATTTATCCGATCCGCTAATTAAGGATATATTGGAGATTATGGAGTTAAAAGAAACACGAGAGCTGCTAAAAAAGCACATGCCCGAGGATTACGCAACAGTCTGCAAGTATCTTGACATTAAAAATTGATTTGTTAAGACGTTTGAAGGTTTTGGTGAATACTTTATGTTGCAGAGGAATATCGTTCTTCGCTTATTTTCTGGTATTTTGAGCATTTTTTGTTTTATTATTGCACACTTCCGTGCGACCGTCGATGTAGCTAACAATGCTTTCCTATTTTCTGGCTCTAAGCTCGTCAAATCTACTTAATCTCATGTAAAAAAGGATGCCCCAGTACTGTCGATTTCTTCGTCTGTGTCTTATTTTCCATTCCAGATACCTTACAATCATCGTAAGCGCACTCTTCGGTGTACGCTCCACCGTGTCAGGTCCAGATCACCTCATCCAACGACGTAAAATATGTTGCACCCCACTGATGCTTGCCAATCATCGTTCCATGGTTCGTTAATTTTGCCAAATTTCTGTGCCTGGACAAGCCTGTTATTCCATGTTTTTCATCCGTAATGACAGCATATGTGGCACAACGAAATCAAAAGCCTCGTTTTCGCAGCTGGGAGGTTTACTGTTGAAAATACGTTTCTAACACGGTGAAAATCGTCGTCGTTTTTTTTTTCGTCTGCTCGTTATTCTTCACTCCAGTTGTTTTCGTTTTCGTTTTTTTGCCTTCAGACAAATCTAAATTGTCCATAACTCTGACAGGTCGCTTTTTTTTTGAGTGGCCTTTCGATGCGAGGGATGTGAAGGTTATTCATTTTTCCCAAAATTTGAAGCTGCACTTCCTGTGAATCGGCGATGAGTTTCTTTAGTAGATTTTACAGCCTGTGTGACCGGCGCAGCAATATCATCTCTCCAGATATGTCGCTATGTTGTGAAATATTTTGTTTGAGGACTGATGATGGTTCTGCGCCCCAGTTCAGATTTTTTGCAAAGCAAATCTCTGCTCTGGCGTCGAGCTCTCCGTCTTCTTTTGCTGTGATGCGAGCAGCTTTGGCCGTTAATCTGGACAGTTGAAACTTTTGGGACAGATAGGCTGCAATTTATTTATTCGAATTGGAGGAATTAATGAAATTTGGCTGGAAGTTCGCTCAGATTTGCTGGCGAAAGACGTGAAATGTACAAATTCGACTCTTTCCGCGTTCTCACGGTTTTGCACCTGCGTCTTCAGGCGTTGTTCATAGCCTCTCTGCAATTGTTGTAACACGGGGGCAGTAACCTGGTTCTCCGGGTACTGTGGATCCTGGCGTTCGTTCCCGGTTCAGCCACTCTTCCGAAATGATCTGCTGTATTCACCGTTTAGCTGGAGCATGAATTTGCCGGATTTCATGGCATGTCTTCAATCACGGCCTATTGAAATTCAGGTCGTTTTTTTTTTTGTAAAAAATACGTCTCAAAATCTATCTCTGGTGAATATTGTTCTGAACAAATGGTTTATTACTGTATGTGTGATACGCGGCCAGTTTGATCGGTATGTTTTGAAATTCTCGGTGCTTGATGGGTGGCGTGTTTGATTGCGCCTTCATTACTGTTTTTGTGCCGTACCAGTCATTTCTCTCTTGTCCTTGGCCTTTTAAGCCAGTCATTCTTCTTTGTTCATTGCTCGATGCTGTATTTGATGAACATTCCATAATTTAGTCAATTGCCTTCTATTTTTTTGTCCCGGTCTTTGTGCATGAGATTTTATCAAATTTTGCCACCACCATTTTTATGATAGTAATTCTTGCATCTGATTTCTTGCACCTGATCGGATTAAAGGCATTTTTCGGCAAAAATTTGTTATCCTCACTCACAGCTGTGGAAAAATTTACCGGATTTTTTTATTTTATCCCAAATAACAAATCCTCTCGGTTCCCGTCTGGAATCCGCCAGCAACCTTGATCGAAATCATGTGGATGGGAAGAGGATAGTATCTGGGGACCCCTTAAGAAGCCCCATCCGGAGCTATCATACAGATTTTGCAAAAAAAATTTTTGATTCTCTGGGAACGCAAATGACTTTATCGCCGTCTTGTTGTGTTATAGTTATATCATTTTGTTGTTTTTTTTTATTGTCGAAATAAAAGCATAAAGCGTTGGCAGCATGTGTTGCAAGAGCAAGCGGTATTCTCTGAACGGGAACCGTTGCGTACCTCTCGTAAAATTTGTACTGGATTAAGCTAGTAGATTCGATCCACCGGCTCCTAGTTATGGATCTGGCATATCTCTTCACAGTTTTTTTTTTTCTTTTTTCCACGATAAGACATGTGTTAGCTCAAATAAATGTATACGTGTGCAATATTTCTGAGAAAAAGGCCACACATCGGTGTTGTTAGAAGCGCGGGCGGATTTCATGGCACAGTGGGAAGGAGGAGGCCCGCTGCATTCCGATATCAAATCTTATGACTTAAATACAATCTTATGACTTTTCATACCTTCACTTTTACTTGTCATAGTTTTACTCATACTTCCACTCATACGTTTTATTTTTCGTTTTTACTCCCGTTCCGTTTTATACAGTTCCCTTCTCGTCAAATATATTATTATTATCACAATCGTCGCACTGATGAAGTCCAGTTGTGGTACCAAATAGGAATGCACATGCCTTAAATAGGTGGATACTCGTGTTCAAAATTTAATCTTAATTTCTACCAACTTCAAATACCACAATCATCGTACTGACGAAGTCTAGTTGTGGTAATGGCAAGAAATGTATACGGATTAATGGACTGAAACATTTCTTATCACTATAATAATTCTACTAATTTCCTGATTCTCATTTCTTCCTTTTTTGATTCTTCTGCTTACTTAATTCCTCATTAATATACTTCCCTACTATTGTTCTCATCCCTTTCTTTACCCGCATTTTCTGGCTTACAATTACCAAATTTCCTTACATTCCTCCCACATTTTAATACGCATACTTGGCGTTTTCTTGAAACATATCCTCATTTAGTGGTTTATGCAAGTTTTTTCTTGAAATCTGTGACATCTGACGGGACTGGGAGACTCTCTACCAATTTTGACATTCCAAGGTCTATATCCTTCATCCTTAATTGCTACATAACCTGTACCACTACGTGGAAAACTATGATGAATATGCAGTGATGTGCGCGCCCCACGAGAATTACACATGACGTACGTAGGGTTAGCTGTCCCGGTCCACATGCTGGCACAACGTAATGCCTCTTTTTCGACTTTTCCCAGGCCTGCGGCTCCGTGCATCCACCAATCTGCGAAATCCCCCCCTCCCCTCCCTCTCTCTCCCATTCGCTACAGTACAACCCGTATGTTGTAATAATATTCAGGACAAATTTTATCAAGCAGACAGAAATCAGTATTGATTCACAGAAATCTTTCGGTTCCGCTTTCATCAAATTGTGCACAACGAATGCCCCATCAGAAACAAAGCGGCGGCGACGCCGCTTCATGCAACAGCGCGCAATTTACATCAACAGGCTTGGAGGAGAGCTCATACAGCGGATCAACTGAGTGAATAAGCAATGGGTTAAGGAAAGCAGTAAAGGGAAGAAGAGAATGAATCCCTGCTAAGCGACAGGGACTGGAAAAATTCATCAGGAAAGAGCAGCAGGAGGGCGTTAAACTGGGACAGATCTGCCAAAAAAAAAGCTGTTCAATTGGAATATTTGGAACACTGTTGTAAATGGAATTCGTAAACGCGAAGAAAAAAAAAGTCGACGACGAAGACGAGGAGAGATAATGTGTCAAAGTTTTATTTTCACCAGGTCAATTCTTCAGATTTTATCAATATCAACTTCTTCGCCGTTATCCGCAGCTTTGACCTTCTCTCCTTTCGCAAGTCCGTTCGTCTTCTTTGCCTGATCCATCTCCACGGTTCCAACACGACGGGCGCGATCGTCAAACTGAAAACGTCAAAATTTCACATCTCCCTCTCTCATTCTTCGTCTTCGCCCGGTTATTTTTCTAGGAGACTAAAATTATTCTGTAATTCCTACTGCTCTCATTCCACACTGCTTCTGAAAAACAAGAAAGGAAAAACCCGCATGTGCCCCGACTGTTCCCCTGTCTTACGAATGGATAAATCTGTAGCTAAAACAGATAACTTTTTGAAAGTCATTCTCAGTACCAG